GAGATACGGGGAGATATGGGGAGATATCGCTTCTAGGGCCCGGCTCCGACAGAGGCTCGTCCTCGGACAGGGCGGCGAGGGTGTTGTACGAGCGGTTCCTGAATGCGAGGCCACAGATAGTAAAACGGATGAGGTGACTGATTCAGAATGAGTGAACTCACTAAATGGTGTTTCCTCCGCCACACAAATCATTACCTGATAGCATGAGTATTCGATTCCTCCTCTCAACTAGTGTTGTTCCTCCGTGGCGGCGTGCCGGGCGAGACGGGCGTCTGTACCACGGGCGCCGCCTTGCACACGCCTCGCTCTCGCAGCGAGTCAAAGGTGGCCCACATGTCGGTCATCGCCTGGGGAGGGTTTAGAGAGCACTAACCATTCGTCGCTGGTTTTGCGAGTCGAGGGTGCCCACGGTTGGGTCATGTGAAGAGAGACACCGCCCAATGAGACAGCTGTGTGGGCATGAAAGCTACGGTGCAATGGTAGAACGATCGCCTGCGATGCTCCGCGCGGCAGAGAGGCGAGCTCGGGCAGGCCGTACCTCCGCCGCGCGTACCGCTCTCGCAGCGCTCTCCGCGCGCCAGACCGCCTGTGGAGAGCGAGGCGGTGAGCGGCGGTGGCGGCAGGCAAGGAGGCGAAGCGGCGGACGAGAGATGGCGGGAGTGGCAATCGGCGGCGGCGGGCGGAGGCGGCGGCGGGTGGTGGCGGTGGCGATGGAGGCGGCGGCGCGGATGGATATGGCAGCCGGGGCGGCGGTGGTGGCGACGGTGCCGCGACCGCGCCTGCACCGCGTGAAGACGGCATGCACCGCCACGCCGACGACAAAGGTGACGACGGCGACCGAGGCGTGGGCCAGCTCTCCTCGCGGCGCCTCGGAGGCGGACGCGTCGTCCTCCATGCCCACGGCCCAACCAGGCGCCGCCGCGCACTGGCACTAAAAAGAAGAAAACGCGCCGCGCGGTGACTCTTTTCTTGGATTTCTAAAAGAACGGAGTGCCGGCCACGCCCGAGACGAGCTCGGGCGATTTACCTCCGACAGTCGCGTGAACGTGGACATCTCCAAGACCAGAAGGCGGGCCAGAACTGCCAGCCGACAGCACCGTGCGCCCAAGTCCCTCCTCCGCCGGCGGCGTGGAATCCGATGTGTCAATTGACACAGCGGGTCCACCTCCGCCAGGAACAACTGCGGCCCGCGCCTCGCGGGCGCCGCTCTCCGCCTCTGGGGTGCGCGTGCCACTAAAAAGAAGAAACGCTCGTCCGCGAAGGCGACTCTTTTCTTGGAAATCGTTTCTCATTATTCCGGCGTGATGGTTGTGGACTTTGCCGAAGGGCTCCATCTTCACCTCTCGCATTCGTCAGCCACCGGTTACCTCAGAGACTATGGAAAGTTCACGTCATGACGGTTAGCCGCTGTCACGACCGTTAGCCGCTGTCACGACAGCTGGGAGCTGTCATGACAGCAAACGACACCCTCTCGACAGTAGCCACGCACCGTCAGCAGCAGCGGGCGTGAGTCACAGAATCTGCAAAACCCTTGCCCTCCTTCCTCCAGCATGTGCCGTGATGGGCTCCAGCGCTGGTTCATCTGCCGCTCAAAAATCTCACCCGAGCGAACGGCGTCAATCATCAACCGCGAGGATTGGGACCTTGAAATCCACGACCGCAAGCAAACGCGCAGAGCATTGAGCAACACACCTCGGGTATTGAACCTCTTGGCCATTGCCGAGCCACAATTGGCGTTGATCAGGAACTCTCATGTAGAGTACTCGGCTCTGCTACAAGAAAGCAGGCTCGCCCTACACCGGTAAATTCTGAGGTAGAGGAGCAGGAGTTTTGCAAAACGTGTGAGACCGCGTACAAACGCTGCTGTGCCTTTCACTCCTCCCTGGCAGCTAGCGCAAGACCTTTGGCCGCTGGCTCGGCGCGGCGGGCGTCGGGCCGGGCTGCGAGCCGCACACCAGGCTGCGCCACCTGGGGATCCGGCGCGACCCGATCCGCGATCGCGATGATCGGCGACTCGGTGGTCAACTCGAACCACCCTGGTGACGGTGGCGAGGGAGAGGAAGGGGGTCCATTAGCACCAGACAGCGAGAGGGGCAGGGAGGAAAGGGGGAGAGAGGAAGCCAACGCGACGTGCGCAGAGGATGAGGATATAAACTGGGACGACGCAGCGGAGGGGATAGACGAGGGAATCGAGGGACCGGAGGGCTTTCGCGACAGCGACGATGACGACGAAGGCAGGGGAGGAGACGGAGGGGCGACACGCAGGAGGAGCGAAATCGCGAACGGCCCGAGCAGAGAGGGCGACGGCGGAGCACGAGGGGGCAACGGAAACGCTACCAATGACGCGAACCGAGGCACGGGCGACGGCGGGGACGGGGAGGGCGACAGCGACGTCGAGGTTGACGCAACGGTATCGAGAGCGCCACCCAAAACAGGGCGGACAGCCATGGAGGTCACCGAATGGAGGGCGAACGGCACGATACGAAAAGGCAGGGCGCGGCGGAGAAGGAAGTGCCGAGGAGGCCATGGTGGAGGGGAGGGACGGGAGGACGAAAGAAGGGCGAGGAGGACGAGCGGCCCGCACAGGCCGCGAGCAGACAGCGCCTGCTGGCCATCTCGAGACATTCGCAAAGAACGCTAGCTACATGGGAGGGATTCGTGAAGGATGGATTGAAAAACATTCGAACAAAGAAGAGGCGACGGGAGGAACCGGCAGAGGATGCAGTGACGTGACACACACACACACACACACACACACACACACACACACACACACACACACACACACACACACACACACACACACACACACACACACACACACACACACACACACACACACACACTCACACACACATAAACGACACACCGCTCACCCACGCGCACCGGGCCTTGCACTTTAAATGCCGTGGGGCTCCTGTCGTTAGACGTGGAGACGCGAGGGTTGCCCCCCCTTGCCCCACCACCTCGTGTGTGTGGAGAAGTTTACCTTACCTTACCTTACCTACCCTCTGGGCGTACTAAAGCCGTAGTTACACGACGCGAATGCGGAATGGCCTCACTGACCGTCACCTCAGGGCCCTCCGGCCCGCGAGTGTGGGCGGCGCGTGAGCGTTTTCCCTTTACGTGTTACTTAGAAACAGTCAGACCATGTGGGCTCAAGGCCAGAAAAGGACGGAGCTACTTGCGCTCCCAGAACAGCGGCTGGAACATTAGGGCGTGGTGCTTGTCCTCTGGGCCCTCGTGGTGCTCGATGTTGCACGTGAGGAAGTTGAATTCGCTGGTCATTAATCGGAGCTGCACGCGGAGCATGCTCCAAAGCGGGAAATCGCCCGGCTTGGCATCGTCAGGGTGAAGGTCAAACACCGTGTCGTCGTCGAGCCACTTGTCGATGTCGGCTGGACAGGTCAGACGCTCAAACATGGCATCGAGAGGAGTTCGGGGGTCGAAGACTTGCGCGTGGAGCGCTGGACGATCCTCGGCCGTCGTGATTCTGCGCTGGAAGAGCTTCAAGAGCACCATGAGGAGGCCAGTGGTGAACTTGGCGAAGGGCATGATCTCGAAGCCGGGCTCCTCACCGTAGAACATGCAGATGCCCTCGGGGTAGCCGTCAGCGGGCTCTGGTGACAGGCCGAAAAGAAGCGGGCCGCTCGTAGTCGATATCCCGGCCGTCACTGCACCAGTACATCGGCCAGAAGCACGACTTGTGGACGAATCGCATGTGCCACAGCATGTTCGCGAGCTGCTCGGGCGTAGGTCGGCCGAGTGCTCAAGGTCGACGATGCTGCGGGCCGTGCCGCGGTGCAGCTCCTGCCCACCCTCCTACCTGTCGGAGCCTTGGCTCGTGACGCTCTGGATTGACGGCAAGAACAAGAACCTGGGCCGCTACTCCACTGCGGTGCACCCCTTCCTTCCCCTTCAAGACCTCAAGGACGCACACTAAAGGCTTTCTGAGCGTCTTTTAACTAACTTTCCACGTTGCCGGCATGCCGGGTGAAGGAGACTCAGTAACGATATGCAAGAACAAGAACCTGGGCAGTAACGATAACTTGGGCAGCAGCTGGGTCTGCCGTCGGCGTCGCCAATGGGCCGCCAGCTTGCCTTCCTTGTGCCATCGTCACCCCATGCCCCGGACCCAGCCGTCCAGGACACCGCCATCGGCTGTGATGGCGAGACTGTTGCGAGCATCCAGCCGACACAGCTCGACGACACACAGCAGCTCAACAAGACGAAAAAAAGAAATCACCAGTGTAGGACAAGTGCTCCCACCGTAGGCCCTGGTAGGCGCGCGTTGACCGTTGCGGTCTTATACATTAGAAATATTTAATTATTAGTTATCGTTCAATTCTTCGCGCGCAAAACCGAATTTGTCGAGAATAAAATTCTGGACAATGCCATATTCACATGCGCTGTCACATGCGACCAGAAGAGAGAGAGAGAGAGAGAGGAAGAGACAGTGCCGCGGCTCGGTCTGACGCTACGACTGTATATTCGAGCCGGCTAGTGGCGGCGCTGGTATTGGTCGCTGTGCCCTCTCGCGTGCGGGGCCACTGCACAATAGAAGGGGGGGGCGCCGGGGCATC